AAAAACATTGACAGTGACCTGAGCGATAACTACTCCTCAGCAACTCGGAGGTTAGTAAGTCTACATCGGCAACTCGAAAGCAGTTTTTGCGAAAGGAATGGTATTGGCAAGGTTTCGAAAATAAAATGAAAGCGACGACATGATCGAACGGGTATCGAGCGTCGCTCCCAGTTCATTAGGGCTCACTGCATGCCTCACTCTGCGGGGTGGCGGGAAAACAAATCCGACTCGCTCCGAATCTTCCTTGACGCCTCATCCAAAAGTAAAAGAAGCTGAAAACAAGATAATCATTTTCAATGTTATCCCCCTTCGAACAGCTTTGCCAGGAGATATCGGCTCGGTTCATTCTATAATAACCTTCTGAAGCGAGTTTTATGAGTGTTTGACCAGTTGAAAAGAGTTTTCAGCGTCATGACGTCAGAGCTGGAAATTAGAACCAGACCCAGGAATGGCACGAGGAACCACCTTCTTATACTATAGACATAATTTAAATTCTAGCTCCCAGATTCAGGAATAGCAAAAAAGTCTCTTGCAAAGTTCTTCCGATGTTAAATACATGAGCCGATCGACTCTCTGAATTTATTCGACTGATCCAGGGTGATACGAGTATTCACCGATGACGAAACTGCCATCAGTGTAATCGGCCGGTATGCTGGCTCGTCACGAGACTCATTTTTAATTTTTCGGGGAGTTCCTTAGCTGTAAATATTTCAGAAATGTAAAAATTAGGAATCGTAAGTATATACAGCTCTCAGCAACCCCAGAAAAAACGATTGAAAAGCTTATCGACCCATGCCTTCCAGAAGAGTGGGAGTTGGGTTTTCGCAGCATCGCTGAGTCCAACCTAATTTCGCCCTCTGTCTTTATCTCTTTGCACCCAGTTGTCGTTGAAAGTGGCCAAACGAAGAGTGAATCGGAGCGGTGTCTTTGTTATGAGCTAAGGAATCAACAGCTTCCATGGCTTTCCAGTCATCCTGCATCAACTGCACCAATTTGGCTTTGATCTTTGGGAAACCATTTTCGCCTTTTCGCCACGTGTCTAGCCGATACCACCCTTGAGCTCTGAGATTTACGAACGCAGGGCTAAGTGTAGATCACTTTCTCCAGTGGAGGAGCTTTCAGTTCCCCATCTTGAACCTAAATCAGCAACAGCCTGAAGATATCTCTTTGGGACAAACTGGGCTTAGAACTGACTCACGCTCTGATCTATCGACTGTCTCTCCACAGATTTTTGTGATATGATCCACTTTTTATCTGAGTGAGGAGCATAGCGCGAGAGTTGAGCAACTTCGAAAGAGAGGAGAGAAGAGCCGCATGGTCGACCCTGTCTCAAGGTTGGGAAGCGATAGGTCATGAGGTGCGCGTCGTCCGAGTTTCTGGACCTCACCAATCCTCCAGCACATGTGGGATGGTGAAGCTCAATGTGGAAATCAGCTCCGTAGTGGTTGCACACAACTTCGTCCCCTTAGCGTATTTCGAGTGGCCCATGCTCACTTTAGTGGAAGGCTTAAAAGCCGCAAAGAGGTTAACGGGTTACCGCCCCTATTGGGTGCAGTGATCCACGCCGCGAGCCTGTTCATACGGTGCCTAAGCCGTATTTTCAGATGAAGCCAGCTGGGTTTCAAGTGCTTCCCTTCCCAAGCCAAAATTATATCGAAGAAGAAGAGCGTGACAAATGTATCTCGCTTGAATGGTAGTGCTAGAATATTGGCTTGTTATCACGGAGAAATATTCAGAAATAGCCTCTGGAAAAGCCCGAACTGCTGTGCATTGTTAAAACTTCATAGATCATAACCAGCTTAAGTATAAGCGAAAAGTGTGTGATAGAAGAAATTACAGCGGAAACTTCTGAACATCATTGCAAATAACAGAACCAATCTGCTTTTAATTACAAATGCTCTTACCTGCCGATAGGGCTGACTCCAAGAACGGGAAACGAGTACGATTACAGCAGCTCCTGCAGGAGCAAGCAATGCAGCGTTCGTTCCTTCCGAGAAGGGTAGAGTGTAGAAAATGAACTGTACTCAATGTAAGCCAAGCGTTTATAGAAATATGGTATAAAAGGAATTTCAAAAAAAACAGCGTTTTCGACGCGTTCTGAGAAACGGTTGTTGGCAATCGCAAACTCACCATGACACTCGGATGAATCTATCCCACTACCCTCAGCCGATTCCAGACGAGTCCCTGAGCTACAGACAAGTGCTGGCTCAACGGACATTTCAAATCTTAAGTAGTTGTATGCGGTTCATCCAGAAATCTACTTGACAAATTTTCTATCTCAGCAAGAAGTGAAAAGAGTTGCGTGAAAGTGGCGTCGGGTTGGGACTTTTGCAGTACTAATGTTGAAAGGGTGGTCCATGATTGCCCTGATTCCCGATATATCCGCTTCCAGGAGAACGGAAGTCGCTGCTCCACCTCCGAGGAAGCACTGAGGTGGGTAACGACGACGAACCTACTGTTGAGCTAATTTTGATGTATATCGAATGAAAAACTGGAGCAGGAGAAGCGTCTGGAGGCTCAAGGCTTCCTTATCACTTTCACACGAAAATCAGGTGGTAAAGGTGGTAACAGTGGCGCAGCTACTAGTCAAATCAAATAGTTCTCCCATAGGTAGTTGCTGTTTTTTAAAGAGATTCTTATGAATCTAAGTTCCCTTACGTACAACTCGTGCTTCACTTTTATCAATTGAAACTAATTAGCTGAAAGTTTTCAGCCAGTCAGTTAAGTCAGATTTCTGTCGTTGGTCTACAATGTGACTTCAAGCTATAGCGGCAACATTTACATGTGGGATGGCACACCTCGACTTGCTGCTTCAAATAATATATGTATATCTTGAATGAAGCAATAACACTAAGCGCTCTAACCAGGAAGGGTTGTGGGAATTCGGGTACGACTGAGATAAATTCAGGTGCAATTGAGAACACTTCGCGTCTAGGTGCGAAAAGACCTTAATTGTACCTAAAGTAGTCTTGACCACGCGCCTCTCCTCAATCGTACCTAACCTCATCTTAGTTATGATAGTGATGGTAGTAAGAAAGTGAAATTTCGATTTAGGGTTGTGGACAGGAGGTTTCTCAACATCTGCGTTTTCGAGAATTTCTACCACATAGAATAAAAAAAATTCGGTAGACTCAGAAATGAAATTCATGTGAAATGTAAAAAATATCCTTTGGGCCTCTTTTCCACTGGATGAAGGCAGTATGAAATAAGGGTTAGAACGGCGGTCATTACCTTCTGAAAATATGAGGCCGATGAGGCGGCCGTTTTGCCTCTCGTTTCTCTCTGTTACCCTACTTTCCCCGAAGCAGCACGAATAAGATAAAAAGTGAGAAATCCTCTGCTTGAAGAAGTGTGAGAGAAGCAAAGCAGCAATCCAAATAGCCGACGAATCCGTGCCGGATTTTTGCCCTTTCCATTCCGCTATCTTACGAAGAAAAGAAACGGATGTTTACTTTTCCTTCTCTCCCTGCTTACTTACGTAACGTTGAGAATAATGACCTCAGTTCACATGGCTCACTCGCCTATACGTGAGGAAAATGTTACTGCATAGCTCGATGCGCGTCGTGGCTTTCGTATAGCTCTATCGAAATGGCGCCATCGTCCGCGCTCTGCTATTGAGCCTTCGAAAAGCCAGCAAAACCCGTATCGGCTCTGTTTGATAATCATTTCGGCGAACAGACGACTTCACAGCTCACTATTTGAGCGATTGTGTATGCAATTACTTCTCCAACTGTACGTGATAAACACCTCCATGCGTCTGCGATCACCAGCGTATGATTCGTATCTTCGTTACCGAGATTGGAGGTTGTCCGTATCCACATCCATCCATCTATAGGGAAGTGGTGAGAGAGTCCCCAAGAACCGTTTAGATCCTTAATAGCTGTCCTAATACTCGTACAGGTGACCAGGAGAACAGGAGACCAATTTTAGTGGACTCGTCTCGGAACGTGGGCATAAGTAAGCTATGATCCGCTTGCATGATGAGTTGAGCCGTGTCTCATGTTCTCTTCGAACATTACTGGTTTGCGCTTGCTCAGGTTATCAGTGGTTTTCTTCCTGATCTTGATGCCGGGTTTGTTTGTTTTCTTTTAATATATCTTTCATGTTTTTTTTAGATTTATGTTTTCCTTAGGTGTTGCCAACACATTCCAATGTAAGATTTTTCTCTGTCGTAGTAGCACGTCCACTATTCACACCATGAATAAATAAATAAATAAATATTAAATAAATAAACGCAGTGAGTAGGTATTCCCTGTGTGTTCTCAACTGTAGTGCAGTGACGAAAAAGGTATCCCCAAAAAGAGATGACGAGGTAAATGCGAGAGGCTTGTTGCGTTTTGTACGTTGCACCAATAGGAAGTATCGAGTCTCACAGAATAGTTTCATCTTTCCCTCCTCCGCTATCAACATCACCCTTCCGGATGGTTCACTACTCCTCAGACTCCACCAAAATTCTCAACTTTTTCGAGTCTTTTGTCTGTAAAAACTCACGTTGGAGAGCAGTAGTCATAGAATTCCGCGAAGTACGCAGTGTTTTTCCTGAGCCAGTAAGCTTTTGCATCGTTGTTTACCAACATGCACTACCTTTTTTTTCTTAACTCAATACTGTCCCGTTTGTGTATGTCAGAATGGTCGAACTTCTTTATTATGATAGATGAAGGGCACACGTGAAATTTATCTGGGAAACTCGGGTCCGAGTTTTCGGAGTTGTTTGTGTACATTGAAGTACCGTCCTATGACAGGCATGCAAGCTGATATAGCGAAAAGTGCGAGTCAAGCGCGCGATAGCATAGCGTCCAAGATCCGAGCTCAACATCTCGCGCAATCGCTGAAAATGTGCGAATTCCCCCTTTACTTCAGCAGACTTATGATATTTGAAATATTGTCGTGTTGAAAGGTGTATAGGCCCAATCAACAACATTATAATTTCCTTTTTTCAGCAGATACTTCGCTTTAAACTGGCCTTACACAGCTAAATTTCCAAAGTGGGTACAATTCAGATAAACTACTTTTCTTTATGCAGCTCGAAACTTCTGCCACTATCTGCTGCTGCAGCCAAGTTGCTTTCTGAGCGTTTCAAAAAGTTCAGTGAAAAATCACGTAAATGTTTCGCTGAAGTAGTTGGTAATGACGAACTAGGAGCATTTTTCTCACATTGTTCATGCCATTGTATCATTTCGTTGCGCCAGATTCAGTAGAGAGAGTCAGCTTTGCGAAGTTCTGAAAAAACAATCGCTCGGAAGAAAAAAACGGCTGATCTTTTTCTTTCAGGTGGACTATTCATCCCGTCCCATCGATCCGATTTTCCAGCAGGCTCGAGCCAAAATGGAGGATGCACGGGATTTCCGGAGATATTCATCTCCAGGATCAGCTGCTAAGAGCTCATGTACTGCAGCTGCGGAAGACTGTGAGCATACACGTCTGAGTGATTACGAAGTTAACGATTTTCTTAACCATCCGTCGATACACCATTATTACAGATGGAATAATTTGTACGAGTGCAACGGCATTACCGACCATTCCCCTCTATACAGTACCTTCACAGGCTTCTGATCGGCCTGAAACTAATCAGATTGATGCCAAGATCTTTTTCGCTGAAACGATCAATGTCGCTAATGGGGACGATTTAGAATCTCCTCCGGAGAAAAGAATGCTTATTGCTTCTGATTTAGAATTATTATAACTTTCACGTTCTCTTTGTTTGAAAATGCATCTTATGAATTACTAGATAGGGGACCACTTTGTCTTATATGCGAAGGCAGCTTCCGTGATATGTTATCTGTTTCTATTTCCTTTCAAATGTAGGAACAGGACATACGACAATGAACTCATTGCCGGCAACCTGCATTGTTTTTCGAAGCTGTTCTTCATTCCGTGTTGGTGGGAACTGGAATTCTCAAATTTTCAATCAGTAAGAAGTCCTAAATCTTAAAGCTTCACATTTTCCACCAAATCAATTAACAGAATCTGTATGTACTTAGTTTCTCATGCGAAATCAAAATTCGCAATATAAGTGAACACATCAATGATGAATCAAACTATGGGTATTCCAGCCTCTACTTGAAAGCTATCATATGCAGCAACTAACATAATTGATGCAACGTTAACAACTAGCGAAGTTCCATATACTCTCGAAGTGTTTCCGATGACTCCACAGTAAGACTTCTTCTTACGTCATCGGCGCAATATTATAAGGCAAATTTTCAGCAAATCATGGACTAAGCAAAAAACTCTGACACCAATAAGAGCATGATTTTGCTGTATAATGCAAACGCAAGTGAAGAGGAATGTTGCTTTGCGTATTTCCGAGTCTAGTCAGTGGTGGATATCCACTCGAAATGGATCTGCTGCTTCGACTATTGAACAAATTTGAACGGTCGACCAATTGCATATGCATAGCGGGCAGTAAATAAGTCAATTTCATATGTCCTCGACAAACAATCCCACACATGCACGCTTACATGTGAACATAGTGTTAACCTGTTGAGAGCTCAACTAGTCCTGCGGCCTTTCAGAGAGGATCAGATTATTGTGTAGAAGGCGAAACCGAATCTATTAAAAAAGATTTTTGCTGGAAATTGAGCAATTTAAGTACTAGTCATTTCCACATAATGAAGTGGTTGGCGTAGACCGAATCATCTTCCTGCTTTCTCGCGGCATGAGAAATCTGAATGTTTGAGAGGCAAAAGAAGCCTAAACTCAGCTTCAATTGTCGAAACTCTATACTACAAGACGCGTCATTTGAAGGTCGAGATTACGACATCGATCAATTAGAAAACCATGTTGCAGTCAAGACGAACAGGAGCAAAGGCGGTTACCGTCCGCGCGCTAGTTCGAATTCAGAATTCAATGAAAGAGATACCAACAGCGAGTGGCTAATCCATGAAACCTTCTCAAGCGATGCAACACAACTTTGAGGCAGTATTTAGGAACCACCAAATTTTATGCAGGATTTATCACCCTCTTCCAAACAGTCAGGAATTGGACATTATGAAAAAATTGTGTCACCCGAAGGAAATTTCAAGCTTCGATAAAAAGAAAAACTCTGAGTGCATGAGTCGCACACTGGAGAAACATTGCTACAATCAATTCACAAATAGAGCACAAGTATTGCAGAAGCTGTCAACTTGAAATTACCCCAATGTTTCGGAAAGCTGTTCAGCTTTTTTCTATCTAGTACGATTTTCAATTGATCAAATGGTTTCTGTCGTCGTATGCATGTATGCATGCATCGCCTGTAAGCAAAGCTTGTGAGCCAATGAGTTCCAAAGCCAAGCGAACCAAATATCCACATTGAACAACCAAGTCTGTCTTATTATCCAAACATGCGCAACATAGCGAAACAACCGCTGATATTACAGGTCCTTCATAGAAGGAGAATTGCTGCAAGCGTCGAATTCAGGGGAGACCCAGCCATAGGCCTACAACAAGGCCATCATTTTAGGAGGTGAGCACGTCGATTCATTTCCACCAAGCCTGTTTTGCCACAAAAGCAGTCGTGCCTTAATAACATGTGGAACAGTTTCTGATGCAGAGAATTAGCAGTAAATGCAGGAAATATTGCTCTCCCAATCGCAGAAGGTTCAGTGCTAGGGAGCCATACTATCCCCAATGTTGGCCGTAACACCATTTTGGTTTTTGTTGCAGCATCATTCAGAATCCGTGACAAAGCCATTCACAACTCAAACAAGGAAGTCTCGCCAAACGATGTGGATTATGAAGAGCGGGTACAAATGAAATACAAACATGCTCTTAGCATGTGCTTCAAACAACATTAGCAATCCTAGAAAGATCGTTTTTTGTCTTGCGACCTACTCTTGTGAAGGCAGAGAGCAACGTTCGAAAGAGTTATGAAGGAGTTCACAAAGAAAAACTTTCGTTATGTCAGCACTTGTAGTAACGATTATTGAGAACCGCCCGCTGATGGCTTAGGCGTCCCGAAGAGACTATTGAAATAAGCACAATGTCAGGCACGGAAATTAACGCACATTCCTCATATCAGGTGGAGTGTAGAAAGTGAGTGGCTGCTTTCGTAGTCGGCCAGCCGGCAAATGTGCTTTCAACATGTTTGAGTCTGACATTGGAAAAAAACAGATATTTTTTAGAATTGCTGATCTATTCATGGTTAGAAGGCCATACAACTTCTGTCGAATCATTCATTGTTTGAATTGGAATTTTTTGCTTGCGGTTTTAAAAAGCTCTTTTTTCATGTGAGAAAAGTGAATGAGACATGTGTGGTCCTGGCTTTGAAAAGACAAATTTTCAGATTCGCTGCCGCAATCATGCTGAAGAGAGCACTGAGCTTCCGTTGCATCATTCATTGTTCAGATTAAGTTTTTTCCCCAACAATTCTAAACGCTCGTTCTTCATATCAAAAAAGTGTCTGAGACGCATGTGAGTCTGACATACAGATACCCTAAAATCCCATAGAGAAGAGCGGTCCATGGTGTGCTACAAAATGAAAATTGACGTTTGCATTCGTTTTTTTTGGCGTTGTGTGCTCATGATTATAGCCTACAACTACAACTCTACCTTTATTCTTACTGTTTTCTATACCCTTTCTATCCTGTATCATCTGCTAAGAAACGTCGTAAATCGTATACAGCAGCTTTCAAGCTAGACGCCGTCAATTATCGTGATTTGCATGGAACCTTGGCAGCGGCTAGTCATTTTGAAGTCACTGAAGCAATGATAAGAAAGTGTACTATTGATCGACAAATTCTTCAAGAGATGCCAGCAACGAAGAGAGCCCGACGATACTAAAAACCAAGCGTTGATGAAGTTGAAGATGCCATCTACAACTGGGTTGTCAAAAAACGAGAAGAAAATAGAGCTGTCACGGTGAAATTAATAAGGACTAAAGCCAAGGACTCAGCAGAAGAGCATGGTCACCAAAATTTTAAAGCATCTGCGCATTGGTGCAGCCTGTTTATGGCGCGAAAAAAGCTCTCTGTACGAAGAAGAACAAGTTTCGGTCAACCTTTACCGTCTGACCATCTACAAAAACGCTCCGATTTTCGAAAGTTCGTTGCAGCTGGAGCCTTGAACGTGTCCCCTTTCAATTTGAGAAATATTGATAAAGTACCAGGTCTCTTTGATATCATCTATGAACAGACAGTTGGTGTGAAGGGGCGAGAGAACATTAAAATTGATTCTACCAGCCACGAGAAATCTAATTTTACTGTTGTATTGGGAGTGACTGCTGCTGGAGAGAAACTTAAACCGATGCTAATTTTCAAGAAGAAGTTAATGCCAAAAGGACAATCTCCTCCAGATGTCATTGTGAAACAATTGAAAAAGGTGGGATGAATCAGGAATTGATGGAAGAATGGATCGTTGAAGTATGGAACAAAAGATAATATCACAATTCCGACCCTGATCACTCTTTGCTGATATTTGATTCTGCTCGTTGCCACGTAACTGATGAAGTGAAACAATTTTGTCAACAATATAGCAAAATTGCCGTGATACCAGGAGGATTGACTCAAACATTGCAACCCTTAAACGTTGGCATCAACAAACCGTTTGAAGACCAATTGAAAGCTGGCTGGGAAAAATGGATAAGAGATGAAGCCAAAGCAACTTACACAAAAAGTGGTATAAGGAGAAGGATGAGCCACGAAGGAACTGCATTTTTGGTTAGCGAAAGTTTCCAATCCGTTTCATCTGATGTTATTCAACATAGCTTTAAAAGAGCATAGTGTGATTTGGAAAATCTAAAGAACGATTTTGCCATGATGAATATAAACGATGATGACGAAGTAGAAATTGGATTGGATCCTTGTTGTTTATTGTCTATTGTATTTGTATTTGCTTATTGTATTGGGTTATTGTCTATTGTTGTCGAATAAAATTTGAAAAATATTTTTTCGAAATCATTAGGTAAATTAATCTAATCTAACTAATCTAATCATCGGTGAATTATCTATGGGGTTTTACTAATTGAAGGGGCTCTTCAAGTTCTATCCAGAGATCAAATTCCGGCTTTTCTAGACAGATTCCGGCAGAAATTACGTTAAAATCGTTATTTTTTCTACATGAATTGTTTATTAGGTAGGAAGGATTTAGAGTTGAGGGGCGGGGCTTCTTCTAAACTTCTTCTCCGGTTTTTATTTATCCATCCATCAAGTTAGAGGGGTGACAGCTCTCAATTTCAATGACATTCCAATTCATTTTTCACCGGTAAATTAAACCGCTATTATCTATGGAATTTTAGGGTAATTTCATAATTGCTGACCATATGGAGGAGACCATCGAGCTTCTGTCGCATCATTCATTGTTTTAATTGAAACTTCATGCTTGTGGTTCTAGAAAGCTTCTTTTCCATGCGAGAAAAGTGATTGAGAAATGTTTTGTGTCTGACTTTCAATAAAAAACAGATTTTCAGTATTGCGGCCGAATCCATGTGGGGAGAACACTAAGCTTCTGTTGCATCATTCATTGTTCAGAATAAATTTTTTCCCCAAACAATTCTAAACGGTCGTAGTTCATATGAGAAAAAGTGACTGAGACATGCCTGAGTCTGACATTGAAAAAAAAACAGATAATTTTATGTGTTCATGTAGAGGAGACCATTGAGCTTCTGCTGCATCATTCATTGTTTGAATTAACCCTTTTCCGAAAAGGATGCCAACCGCTCGCTCTTCAAATCAGTGAATGTGCTTCCAACATGTTTGAGTCTGACATTGAAAAAAAACAGATATCTCCAGAATTGCTGATGTATTCATAGTTAGAAGACAACTGGGCTTCCGTCGCTTCATTCACTCTTTGAATTGAAATTTTCTTGACTGCTGTTATTGAATGCTCTTTTTCCAAGTGAGGAAAGTGATAGAGACATATTTTGTCTGACTTTGAAGAAAAATGATTTCCAGATTTGCTGCCGTCTTCATGCTGAGTAGAACACTGAGCTTCTGTTGCATCATTCATTGTTCAGATTGAATTTTCCCCAGACAATCCTGTAAGCACTCTCTGCAAGTCAGTAAATGTACTTCCAACGTGTTAGAGTCTGACATTGAAAAAAATAGATAACTACAGAATCATTCATGTAGTCATATGGAGGAGACAATTGGG